CCCCAAAACCCCAAAACCCCAAAACCCCAAAACCCCATTTTAAGGAATAATTATTATTAAGAATGACTTATATGGAGTACGAGTATGACCTCTACCTCAGTGAAGACCCTGAGATCGATGAAGGCAGGTACAAGGAGTATCAAGAGTCCTCAGGCCCACTCAGGCTTAAGAAGAACAACGAATTTCCCAAAATAATTAGTATGTTCCGAGTAGTTGGCCTTTATATGTGATCAAGATTTTAACAGCAATTTTAGGGAAAAGTTTCGAAGATAGCCTCGATAATATTCTGAATTACGACAAAAGGTAACATTTGCGCAGTTCCTTACCTAATTTCACATATTTGACGTTTTTGAACCTAACTTTATTTGCAGAAAATACCCAAAATAAATTAATGAGAAAGATCAAGAAGACTAAAGTTTCAACTTATCGAAATACTGAGATGAAGGACATATTGAAGAAGGATGTCGATAGGTATCTCTCCAAGGCATCTAAAAATCGTAAGAGAAACTTGTCTATTGCAGAAATTCAGAATACTCTTGGTAGTATCCCTGTAGGTTAGTTTCATAACATTTCAGCATTATTTGAAAAATGCAGATAAGAAAATAGCACTCCTGAATAGCTCAATTCAGAAGAAAAAGAGTAATTTACTGTGTAATTTGTGTAGAACAAATCTCTACGGGCCAGAAGAACGATGAGAAGATGTCACGGATCAGCATTCTTTCAACTCTTGGTAACATAAAATCCCCGATTTTAATCAAGAAAGCGGTGTATAACCCTCTTGAAACCCAGAGCTCGAAGCGAGGTAGCCTCTTGTGCTAATTTATAGCCAAAAACGATGAAAAATTCCCTGAGCTGAACACTTCAGCTTTTAAGAAGAGGAAGCCAAGCCATTCGAAAAATGAGGGTCATAACCATTTTTCATTTAAGAAAAATTCTGCATTGTCAGGCACAATTGGGGCTAGAAAATCAAAGGTGAAGCTTCCAGGTATTTTCCAGAGTTGACACACAGATCTGAACACTCCTAAGGATGATGCAAGGGGATTCCAGAAATTCAGACTTGCAATGGAGGACTTGAAATCCTCTTACGAACCCCCATCCCTCAGTAGTAGACAAAAGAGAGTTCTTGAGAGAATTGCTGGTGAAGAAGCTGAGCCTGTAAAGGCTCCAAAACCTACTCCGAGAAAAGAGGAGGTCATCAGTAAGTCTCTATTCCTCATTAAAAATTACTAAGGATACTTAAGTTTTATTGTAGACCCACCTAGCCCTGAAAAATCTGTGAAGAAGGCGAAGCCTGAGGAAGTGCCCAATGGTAAAGAGACTGATTGGATAATCCCAACTGAAAGGATCAAGATGGCAGTGGCTGCTTATAAGGAAGAAATCATTAAAAATAGAAAGCCGTTACAAGAGTCTCTTTAATAATGAAGACTCTGTAAGTTCATCAAATAGTTAGAAATCAAACTATTAATATCTTCAATGTAGCCAGTTTGGTTGGGGTTTTGGGGTTTTGGGGTTTTGGGG